GAGGACTCCATTTTCCTCCCTGTCCTGCTTCAGTTGACTGCCTCTCTTCCTCTGCTTTTGACTCCCTTCTTTCTGCCTTCAAAGTCGGCAATGACCTATGGAGTCTTTTACCTTTTTCGTATCAATGTGAGAGTGACTCCTCTCTCTCCTACCTCTTTTTTTTTTTTTTTTTTTTTTTTTTAAGAACCCTTAGGATGACATTGGGCCCACCCTGATAATCATAATTATCTTTCTATCTTAAAATTTTCTCCATAGCAATCTTCATTTCATCTATAATCTCAACTCTCTTAGCTATGTAAGATAACGTGTTCATAGATTCCAGATATTAGAGTATGGAAAACTCTAGCAGATCATTTTTTCTGCCTAAAATAATCATGTTTTTATACTCATAACCTGATGATCCTCTCCACAAATGATGGACATCCATATCCTCAGAGCCCAGAGCAGGCTGTTTTATCAGTGGGCTCAACTTAGGCCAGAGATTGCCTCAAAGTCGCTGTTTAGTGGCTGGAATAGGTGGGGAGGGGATTTGGATATATAGCCTGGGATAGCCATGCAAATGTATTTACAGGTCCTCTATGTTTTCTTACATTGGGACCCTAAGCTGAAAGCAGGCTGGCTGTCATCACTCAAAAAAAGAAGTTCCCCCACTTTTGACCCTAACTTATCCCAAGAGATAATTGAAAATCCAGTTCAAGGGCTGGGAATGTGGCTCAATGGTAGCGTGCTCGCCTAGCATGCGTGAGGCACTGGGTTTGATTCTCAGTACCACATAAAAATTTTAAAAAGATATTGTGTCCACCTAAAACTAAAAAATATATAWTAAAAAATAAAGTTAAAAAAAGAAAATCTAGTTCAAGTTACCTCTCCAAATTAAAATGAATAAATGAATAAGTAAATGGAAGTTCACCTCATTAAATGCCAGCTATAAAATTTGGGAAGATTCTAGGAAAATTTGCAGGACGGGTCTTAAAATGTAGTGGCTGTAAATTACTGAATCTGAAGAATTGGGACATTTCAGGTCATTTGGGTATTTTATTAGTATTACAGTGACTGGGATAGAAAAAAGTAGAGGGATAAATATCAGACCAGGTAAGATTTGGTTCCATATATAGATTCAATCAGAAGAGAACCTAAGTAGTGCTAAAGAAAGAGAAGAAAATACCAGAGGGCAAACTTTGAGGAACATTGGCTGAGAAGTTCATAAAATCAYATTACCTTTCATTGTTCTTTCCATGCAGTTGTGACTCTTGTACATAATAGCGATGACAATGAATGCAGTGGTCAGATAGTACTATCTGATCTGAGTGACTCATTATACACAGCTAAATGCAACTGGTCTGCACTCTTGCCCACACATTCCAAGGTGACCAAAGGATAATGTAATAGGAAACCTCTTTTTTTTTTTCTTCATGTATGCATGCTTGCATTTGCATAAATGAATATGCATACACATCTATAATGTGAATATAAATGTGAATAGAAGTGTTTAGTCATATATCCTTATTATGTGGTGTTTATTCATATATCCTTATCATGTGATGATGGAAAGAAAATTGAATCAAGATTCAAGAGACTTGGGRCTTTGGTTCTACCACAAGTCCATTATGAGACCTTACTCAGGCCATATGTTMACTTATCTATGAAACAAGATGTTTTAAACTAAATGACTCTTGTGATTCTTTTCCATTCTAAAACCCTTAACATCCTTGGATAAGTCAGACATATCTCCTTTTCTACCAGAATTCTAACTTAGTTCTAACAGGAATTATCTTAATTTTTACCAAGGAGACAACTAATACTACAGCCTTGGACAAGATATTTTCTCTCTCTTTTCTATGTATTATTCTCTAGATTCTAATTCTAGACAAAATTTATCTTTACTTTCTCATTTTCTTCTTTCAACAATAAAAAGGGAAGCTATCAAAAAAGATATTACATTGTAGGAAGATTTTATCAATTACTTCCAGACATTTGTGTCCATGACTTTAGGACCTAAGAACAATATCTTTGTCACAAAATGAAGATTTGCAAGACCTTTGGGCACTTGGAAAGTACCACAAGTGGGGATATCATATCTTTAATCTAGTTCTGGTTTCTCAATCAACAAATATATACTTGAAACCTCCTAAATGTTAATTGTAGTAGTAAATAAGATAGAAATGATCTCTGCAAGATTCTAGGAGAGATAGACATTAAACACATCATTGGAAAAATGTAATTAATTATATTATCTGAAGAAAAAGTTGGAGCTATTAAGTGTTTTGAGAGGCTGTCCTAGCTTTGTGWTTGAATTCAGTCACTTTATCCTCTAGGTCTTGAATTTTTTCTACCACCAGGAACTTTTCATTCTCTTATTTGAGAGAAAAGCAGAAACATGTTCACCGTTTTAACATTCATTGATTTCATATATGCTTGGATTTTTTAGATTCTTCTAAAATGTTTTTTATTCCTTCCTTTTTATAATTTATTCAATGAATATTTATTAAGCCACACTTTATAGGGTTGAGATTCAGAGGTAGAAGTCACAATCTCAGCTCTCAAACAGTTATTGTCAGGACAAGCACATAAGCAGTTTCAAGTCAAGTAATTGATTATTAGTAAAATAAGAGCAGTGTCTATTGAGAATAGAGGCATTAAGGCTAGCCTTCACTGGATCTTCTAAAAAATAGTTCCTTGAAGAGCAAGAAAGAATTAGCAAGTGAAGAAGACAGGAAGTAGGCTGTTGGATCAGATGTTCTGCACACCTATAAAAAGACATAGTGGTAGAAGATTCTATGGATCCTACGTAGAATGGGAGSTCTTGATTCAGATGACTACATGGTAGTCACAAAGGCAGAGTCCATGATTGGAAGATTAAAAAAAAAAAAGTAATGACAGATTTTATGGAGCTACTATGATTTTTTAAAGGGATAAAAGCTGATTGCTCTGTTTGATTTGCTGTGTTTGGATCATAAAAGAATAAATAAAAATTGCTCAGAATGGATCTATGCATGAGGCCTGAAAATCAGCAAGGAGCCTCTTGCAGAATTCTGGGGAAGAGATACTGAGAAACTCAAGATCATAGCAACAAGAGTCAGGAAAGGAGAGGAGATTGTCAGCTTGTCAGCGTCAATGTAAGATTTGGGATCAACTGGACTCCAAGACTGGAGGTAGGGACTCTGAGGAGAAGAAAGGAGTGTGTGAAGATTCTAAGTTGTCTACTGGTATAGTTGATCACTGATGTTTCAATATCTGGGATAGACATGAAAGCAGGATCAATTTGGGGTGTGGGGAGAGCAGTGCTATCATGACCAAAGTCCTTATGGAGCACCTGTGTAGAGTGGTCTAGAAAGAATCCAAATAGATGAGTCTGGGGTATAACCAAGGAGAGTAAATTTGGGAAAATACAGTAATAAACAGTTGAAGTAAATTTGTATTTATTTTATTGATAAAAATGCTACAAAAAGCATAATTTAAAAGTCTAACAGTGTAAGTCTCTGATAAATATATTTTTAATAATCAAGGGATGATAAAATGAATGAATTAATAGGAGATGTTATGGGATAGCAAAAAGTTCCTATTCAATTTTATAGTTTATGTATAGTTTATGCCTTTGTGTGTGTGCATTTGTGTGAGAGGATATAAAGATTAACAMTATATTAGAACTATACATGTACATTGATATGCTGGGTCTGGCATAACAAAAATACCACACACAGTCTGGGTGATTTAAACAACAAAATTTATTTTCTCTCAGTTCTGGAAGTTACAAATTCAAAATGCTCCTGCAGTGTTGATTTTAAGTTAGGCTTTTCTTCCTGGCTTGTAGAGACAGCTGCCTTGGCACTGACTCTTCATATGGACTTTCTTCTCTGTCAGTGGAGGGGTGGGGGAAGAGAGAGAGCTATCAGTGTGAGGTGTCTTCCTCTTGTAAGCACACCAGTCTGTCCAATAAGTCCCAAAGCCATGACTTCTTAATTGCCTCCTTAAAGGCCTATGTTCAAATACAATCATATTAGGGGCTGGGGTTTCAATTTGTGAATTTTTGGTGAGGGACGCTATTTAGTCCATGACAAAATCAGCTCATTTGACATCCAAATTGACTTTCTTCTGAGAAAGGACAGATCAAAAACAAGAGATCGCTGTGTGTCATAAAAGAGGTGAAGGTCAGAACTAGATTTGCTCATTTATAAAATATGTATAATTCTTTTCTAAAACTGATTATATCGGAAAAACAATTATATTCCTACAAACATTTTTTTTTCCTTCTTTTTGGAGAGGATTTATAAGCCACTTGCAAATCAATACATCTTTAAATAGTAGCTGAATGGGTTTGATCAATTTTTTCCCCCTAGAGCTCTATGGAAACCAGGTGGTAAGAGCCAGAAAAGGTACACATCCCACAGGAATGTCTTACCATGAAGATTAAATTTAAAGCGGAATTGCTTGTAGAAAACCGTGTTACATTCTTGGCATGTGAACACTTGGGATAATGTTAACTTTCACTTCGGGGTATTTTTAATGTTTGGAACTAATCTCAGTTTATTTTGCGCCTGCGAGGTTTTACCTCTTTGTACATTTGACCTCCATTTGGTTCTAGTGTCTGAGTTGATGCGCCCTGTAAAAGCTTCTTGGAATTGCGAAGCTCTGACTCTGGTGTCCAGGTGACAGAGACAGGGTGGGATCCCGTGGAACTCTGAGGGCGCGGAGCCTCTAGCATACCATTCTCCTCCCACCACCATCCCATGCTGGGAGGCGGAGAGGGCTGCAAACTTCGCTCCAATCCGCAGCCAGCCCTCCCCAGGGTCCCCCTGCTGGGCGACCCGCCCTCCGCAGACAGAGTTGAGGGAACTTTGCAAAGCTCGGCGTCAGAGCCTGGGGAGGTGAAGCGTTCCCCCTCCTCCCCAGCCTTCTTCTCTCAGTGCCCCCGCCTCCCGGTCCTCGCCCAGCAGCTAGCGCTGGTGATAGGACGAGCCCCGGGCGTGCATTGTGTATATGCAAACCAGTGTCCCGGCTCCCCAGGGCTACCTAACCCGGGCCAGGTCTGTGGCTGCTGCTGCCTTGGGCATCGCTGCCCTCTCCGGAACCGAGCACTGTCATGCTCCCGTTGCAGGGCGGGCGGCTGCGTCCCGGAGTCGCTATATAAGCGGGGGCAAGGGGGCACCCGGAGGGGTTGAAGATGAAGGTGCCCGCGCATGGGCCGCCGCTGATTGCCAACCCCTCCCGAGCTCGCTCCCGGCGCGGAGCCGGAGGCCGCCGAAGACCCGCCTTCGCCGCAGTAGCAGCTGGAGCAGCCACAGAGGCAGCAGCTGCGGCGGTGGCAGCGGCGCCCCTTGCGCCAGCGCGTAAAGCGGCGGCTGCAACTCGGGGTCCGCCGCTGCCCCTGCTGCCATGAGTTGTGCGGAGGTGATGTATCACCCCCAGCCGTATGGAGCGCCCCAGTATCTGCCCAACCCTGTGGCAGCTGCAACCTGCCCCACAGCCTGCTATCATTCGGCGCCCCAACCTGGCCAGCAGGTGAGTCACCGAGCAGGCAACCTGCCGGGGGCGGGGGCGAGGGGCACCGAGAGTATCGGTCTGGGACTCCTGCGACATCCCGTCCGGCTGGGACGGGTGGCGCAGAGGATGCTCTGGGACCTGCGGAAGCGTCCCTGAGCAGAAAGCTAACAGAAGATAGGAGGAGAGGCTTGGGGAGGGAAGAACAGCCAGGTGGATGGGTGGGATAAGAGGCATTACCTGGCTGGGGGCTTTATTGAGCTGTTGTCACCGGAGCTCAGAGGCTGATCCTCAAAGCCACCCTGACTCTTAGGACTCAGTTCTCTGAAGCTCATCAAGGGCATCTGACTTAGGACTATGTGAGTAAACTTCCTTTAAATCAAATATTTTGTTTCTTTGGAAAGGTAGAGTGTGCCAGCTAGGTTTTTCGGGATTAGGAGAACGAAGTGTGCCACTGAGGTATAAGAGGCTACCTGAACAGTGAGCTCATGACATGAACTTTGTGGGGAATTTTAGGGTGGAACACTGGCCTAATGCAACCTATATTGAATGTTTCTATAACTTAGAGCTTTTCTCTGTGACTGTGACTTAGAGGGCAGGGATGTCAAGATTCTTCATTCATTTTCTAATTCCATCAAAGCACAGAGCCTGTTAACAGTGTTTTGTCTGTTGAAACGTGTGTTCCCCATTCCAGAGGTAATTTTGAGTCCCTGGAAGCTGGGCTTCCACCATGCTAGGCGACTGAATGCGTCCTTAAAGGGGGACTCAGAACCAGGAGATGATCTAGTTTAGAAGGGAGACTAGGGCTGTGTAGAATCAGACACTAGGTGTCCTTGGATATTACTCACTGAACACAACAAGGTTTAATTAGCACTGCATTAAAAAATGCATGTGCGTGTCAAGGGACTGTACCAAAATAGGATCCTCCTCAGATTGTGGGGTTTAGGGTCTTAAATGCAACTAGATATGGTTAGGGGTTAGGGCTTTATCACTGACAGAATTTACTGATTTCCTTGACTTTTGTTTCTTAGGAAACAAATGTTTTATTGTGGCTCTACATACTTGACCCTTCAGTTAATCCGCACCTCGAATTTTTATATTTCTTCTTCTGTCCCTTTCCTGGATTGATAGGTTTCTTTTGAAAGAAACTATGACTTTCTGTTTAAATTTTAGGGGCTGTAAAATTCAACTGATTCTGTAAGGGTACATGCCCCAGATTCATCTGCAACACAGAACCAACTTAACTTGTACCAGATAGGGTGAAAAAGGAAGAAGCCCTACTTTCTTGCTATTATTTATTTATTTGTTTATTTGTACTATACAACAGCTTCAGCATTTCAAGGTGAAATTACTTTTGAAGAAGAGGATGGGGAAACATTTTGTAATTTGTACTGAGGATGAACAGATTAAAACATTTAGTTTAGCTATTTGTTTTTCTTTGGTATAAGCAAAATATCAGTAATAGAGAAACCTATGGGAGTTCAAGTGGGATAAGTGAGGCAAGGAGACCCTGGGTATTTTTAACATCCAGTCTAGAATGAAGCTCTTTTCCTCCATCTCTGAAAACTCTAGAGGACTTCAGTTAACAGTTGGAGTGTAGATAAGCAACAGACTCAAACTTTATTAAATATTCAGAAAGATAGTTCCCCCTCTTAAAAAAATCTGGTGAGCTAGAAGTTGCAAATAAGATCTTTTTCTAGAGTTGTGAAATTAATTCAGTGAACCTCTGTAGAGGGATTAGTATTGTAATACTTTATTTGTGCTAGAAAATGCAATACATTATTAGAAAAATTACAAATTACCAATCATAAAATTAGTTTTCCTTGAGGAATTAATTCATTCTTTTACTAAAAGCTATCAACAAGCTGAAGAATGAACTTAAAAAAAAATCTTTGTAAACCTGAGTTGTCTACATTTATGTTGTACTGTGATCAACTTCTACTGTATTTGAGCTCCTGTAGACATTGCTTAACTAGAAGTTTGGCTGAGTTGATCATAAGAATTGAGTTGAAAGGGGTGCTTGGAATTTTCATGTTGCTTTTACTAAAATGTCTTGTTCAAATCTCTCTCTCTCTCTCTCTCTCTCTCTCTCTCTCTCTCTCTCTCTTTTTCTTTTTTTTCCCCCGTATTTGACATTTGACTGGCTAGGGAACTAAAGAGAGACTTGAAAGTATAACTACTGTTCTTTTACTGTCAAGAGTTTATTTTGATGACCTATATTTTCTATTGGAGAAAAGAGTAAATCAGGAAATTCTTATCAGGCTGACAGCATTTTTAGACTATGCGGTGCGTGGGTGAAGTGGGACTAATATTGACTTGGCCCTAATGCAGTCATCCGAGAATACATATTTTGGTTGTTTTTGCATTCCATAAGGTTTTATCATTATTGTCCAAGAAGATTGTTTTCACCGTACATGGGAAGTGACCCCTAATAGCATCTTGCCTGTGAGACAAAAAAATGGGGCTTCAACTCCTAGTGCTCTTGAAAAACTTATTTATTGAGGAAATAAAAAGGAAAGGAATAAAAAGCCTGACAGTGTAATTAAGAAGGTTTAATGGTCATTTATAAAATGCTAGGAGAGAGAACATTAAAGTTTTATATTTTTTTATTCAGTTGTCCTAATGTATCTTTGCACTGATTTCTGCATAGCTCTGAGATGTTTTTGCCTCACACATGCTAGACAAGTAATCTACCACTGAGCTATACCCCTAGTTGTGAAGTCCTTGTAAATTAATATATCAACATGGTTAATTATCATTATAATGAATCTTAAGCATAGGTATGCTTTTTTCTCAATGCATGATCATATACTGAACATTCTTTGTGAACTAACAGAACTTTATTTTCCAAGCAAGTGTATTCTCAGCCTTTCCCCTAACAGCTGATATTTTAAGTTTAGGTTTTTATAGAACATATTATATGTTGTTGGTGAGTGTCTTAAAATATAGAAAGCTGCACACACCTAGGCTGTCCTATAATCTGTTATGGAGGCATATGGTAGGCTACATGAATCAAAGTAATTTGTAAGTGTCTGAAGAGTAAATTAAATCCTATAAATTACATGCTATGCATATATCTTACAGTGAGTTGTACAGTGCCAGGTATTTCTGAGAGATGCTAAGTCACCTATTCCCCATGCCCACCATCTCATCATTGCCTTCACTCATCCATCCTAACATCTCCTCAGGAGAACTCTTGACTCGTGTTTCTTAGCACATGCTCTGGAGGCTGATGACACTGCAGAACGTGTGTGGAAAGGAATGCACTTGTATACCAGCAGTGACAGTAGGAATCAACAGAAAATTTCGAAATATGTGTCAGGAAAAATTGAAGGCAATGATATGAAATCATAGATTCCCTTCATACCCCGTGGACTTCTCATTTAAATGCAGACAGTCTGTTGTCTACCCACCCTACACCATGTTCATAATGTTCACATTAGGAAGATTCTTAAAGGAAAGTTTTCAGAATTAAGTAGTTTATAAGTGAGATGACAAAAGCAGAAAACAATCACCAAATTTCTAATTACGCTCAGAAGTTTTTAACAATCACATTTCCGGCTTTGTGAAAGTCAGAACATATTTACTCTGTGCTTTTCAAGGGTAACAGCTGGGTGAATCTGCATGAGTGCTTTCACTTAAAAGAATTCCCTTGGGAAGCAAAGCTCCAGTTATAAGTTTGTAGAGTTTTTTTTCAAACTCTTTCTCTGGACTCTGCCACCTTGGTTAAGTCATAAAACTGCTCTGAGATTGTTTGTCATGGAAAAACCCTGGAAAAAGTACTTCACCCTCTCCTTTTGCATATGGGAAAATGCATTTTCACAGAGTTGAAATGCCTGGCTAGAGATTTAAAAGCTGATTGGAGAAAAAATCAAGGCCACCAGATCCCCTTGCCTCAGTGTAGCATCTTTCCACCATACCATGTGGTCTCTCAGTCTTTTATATATATATTCTCTCTCTCTCTCTCTCTCTCTCTCTCTCTCTCTCTCTCTCTCTCTCTTGCACAATAGGCTTATTTTTGTCTTTAGTGCCCCAATCAACTTTTTTTGATAAAGAAGATTAATATGCAGTGGATTTTTGGCCTTGAAGTTTGAGATTCTTTCCAAGTCCTTGGTAGTGTACTTTTTTAAGTTTAGGCATTCCAAAGGCCTTTTGCAAGCATTTGTATTATGCTCATTTTACTATCCATGTTGCATCTTTTATCTATGAGACAGAATATTCATTTAGCAAATGAACATTTATTTATTGAAAAGAAATTACAGGCAGTGGCATTAACAATCAGTTTTAAGTGCCTTGTATTTCATTGCTATTTGAACATAAGTTTATATTCATTAAAAAGAAAGAATACAATTATAACTTAAATAGTTTCAATATACAGTCAACTTATTTAAGGCAGAGGATTTAATTTTCTTGCAACTGTAAGCAAAGACTTAAGTGGATTTATAAGAATTCATACAGGACTCCTTTGAGAAAAAGCAGCCTCTACCATTCCACACTACACAAATTAACTTGACTACAAAGACTTAGATTAATCTGTCCCATGGCTTTGCGTTCCCAGCAACTTCCTAGCCAGAAAAATTCAAAGATAGAGAAAAAGTTAAACTTTCAAATAACTGAATTATTGGCTCTGGCAGTCAACTAGAATGGAGATTACAATAATTATGGAAAGAGGAGGATTGAAATCTATCATGCGGAGTGAGGATATGTTGGCTAACAAGCCAGATACACCCACATGGTGATCCTAGAAATTTAAGTGAAAGATACTTTGACTAAATGCAAGGGAGTCCTACTTCACCTAGCACTTGGTAAAATCTCAAAAAGTTTAAGATGGCAGGGAAGCAAGCCATGGCAAGGGAAATGTGGGTGTTCAGAGCAAGAACCTTGCTCTTCTGCTCAGCATCTCTTCAGGATACTTCAGAAGAGACACTAAGCTGACCCCGCTGAGTAGTGTGTGTATTTCTGTCTTGTATCCATCTATAAAAAGAGAATTTTCAATGAGAGTAAAACAATTATGCATATGA